TTTTTTTTATTACAATCAATTTTTTTTTTACCTCTATTCGCGATGGTCGTCCGACATTGGTAACGTTTATCGCTATTGTGCGCCTTGAAACGAAAATAAAATAATATAAAAACGCTTTTGTAGGCATGTACGCCACGTTATATATATATATATATATATAAGATTAATCGCCTTGGTTTCATGTAGGATTATTTGAAGTGTATAGGTATGTATGTTACAATAATTAATCGAAAGCAATTAAAAACCGACTAGAAGAGATAATATGTTTCTTTTTGACCGGTCGCACCCGCAGCCTCGTATTCCGGTTTATTTTCGGGTTTTTAAATAATAATTTTAATTTATTTTGTACACTCGTATGTAGAGGTGCACCTAATAGGCCCCCGGAGGGTAATTAATAACAATATATTATAAATATTATCTCGTGAGCAGAGCAGTGTGTTGTGCACGCGCCAGATTTTTGGTCAATAGTTGTATTTCAGTTATCTTTACTAGCAATTATTTTCGATTTTCTAATAGTCGAATTATTATTTCCATTCAACATAATATAAGTTGCGTTTATTAGTATAGTATTGTTTAATATCGTCTATAATAATACCGAGTTGCGGCGGCGGCGCATACTCGACAGGAATTTTTTTGTGTGGCTCTCTCAAGGACCGGCCGGTTTGAATAATTAACGATTCCGAACGAACCGAGTGCGTGGGGGAAGAATTAAAAAATGTACATTAACGTTATGTGATTTTAATATCAAACGCACCTAATGCCACATATGATATTTTATTTTTTCCGAGAAACGAGAATTACTGGTTTCTTTCTTTTATTCGGCGACCGTCTTGGCCGCCTTCGACGGACACGATATATCCCCTCGACGTCGTTTTTGGAAGACTCGTAGGGTAAAAAAAAAAAAAAACAATGTTATCGTCTGCCGAAATCTTCAACTACGGTCGGTTTTTATTATTTACTATCATATGTGTGTGTGTCCCATACACGGTCACCGCGTGTTCGTACATATGATACGACACCGGTAGCCGCGCATTATATTAAATTTTTTATTTTTTATTTGACACAAAACATTTTTAAATTACATTATTATTTTCAAAATATTTTGACCGCTCTCCCGCCAGCGTTTATACGACCAAACGCACAAGCACCACGCGGTCGGATCGGTGTGCGCTTTGTTTTTAATCGTCATTATTATTGGCTATATTTTAATGTACTTTTTCCTTACTAGTAGTAGGTATGTATGTATCGTTGGTGTTGTTATGTGGTCGCCAATATAGTATCGACAGACCGGCAACAATGACTGGAGTGTAATAATATTATACTATTATAGTGCCATGTCTGTCTGCTGCGTGTGTGTGTTTGTGTGCGTTTGACGGACCTCATTTGGAATTCAAGATGGCCGGCCGTCGTATGGATGTGGTGTTGTGCGAGTGTCGCCTCCACCTCCCTCGATTGTGTGTTGTATTAATAATAAATAATAATAATAATAATATTACTGCAGCCTCGATGATGATGAATAGAGAAAAATAAAAGGACAATAATTATTACCATTGTCGCCGCCGTTAGTCCCGTATAATATATTATGTGTACCTACGACGACGCTGAGTAGAGTCTATAGGATTTGTGTCTGACGGTCGTCACTATACTTCCATTAGAAGATTTGATTGCTTTACTTCAGTTTTCGTTTAACCGAATAATTAGCACAAAAACAATAAAATCGGTTGCAGTTATAAACTATTTTTAACAATCGTGCGTTTTTTTTTTTTATCATATGATGAAAATAATAATATTTTCTACATTTCCGCATAATTATTATATTAACAATACTTTATTATTACTATTAATATTCGAATACCAGTCAAAGTATAAAGTAAAAATATTTGCGATGCTGCTATGTATAATATTACAAAAGTTTCAATTATAGTTTTACAAATATATATTAATGTTGAATTATTATTATGTAGTTCGTAGTATTGTTATACTATACTATTGGATACGTTTTACCTAACAGCTGTAAAGTAACCAGTTGTATTTAATATATTATTTTATATTTCGGCGGTAAAAAAATGTGTGGCATGCGACTCGGTCAGTGTGTGTGTGTGTACCCGGAGGACCTCGCATACATAATTAACGCGGTAACCGTGATTTATCATCGGGAAGAGCCAAGTGCCGTGACGTTTTATTTTTTCGAAAAAAACATTATATATATTTATATGTGTTATACAGCGGTTAATAATTAATATAGTATTATGTGTAATAGTAATGATATGCGCGGGAGGAATCTATAATATGGAAGGTCGAATCGAAATAATCACTCTGTGTGCGCTCACCTCGCACTGTACGATCTAAGTACACACCTTTATACTGGCAGTAAATAAGTATATAAGTGTAGTATAGATTTTATGCATCATCTTTTCATTAGCGGTTTTTCCAATTAAACGCGACCGAAAACCAATAACGGTATAATGTGTAATATTATAATATTGTTATTGTAAGTGTTCGTTTTTATTATTTTAGTTTTATTCAAATAATTAGTGTTATTGCTGATTAACCGACGGGCCTTGTACGGTTCTTTCGGATTTGTACCGCGATGATGATGTTGTTGATGACGGTTAATTACATTCATTAGTATTATCGTATAATTAAACAGAATGAAATAATGCTTATGTAGGTATTGCAAAAAAAAATAATAATTCCAACTATCTCGGTACAAACGTGGTTTTTCGCGTGTTGCATTTTATTTTTGATTAATAATAACTTTTATTAATGTACGTCTATAATAACCAACTAACGTACAATGCGTTCTACGTTATAATATATAACAGATCTGTGTAATTAACAAATATAATAAACTACTCGAAATAAACAAAGTAATTAATTACCAACTTTGATTACACGCGCGCACACACTTGTAGTAAATAAATATAAACAGGTAGATAATATTATGAACGTCTTAACGTAATCGCCGTTGATTTTCAAAAAAACTATTATTATTATTATTATTATTATTATCTAATGAATTTTAATATTTCGTTTATCGCGTTAATGCTCGGTTCTGTAGAGACCAATTTCAAACACGGGTGCCTTAATGTAACGCGATGCTGTGTAACGTATAGACTTTATTAATATATATATCGAAATCGACGCGTCTGGGGTTTGTCCGTGTATTTTTTAAGAATCCGGTCGTCCTTCGGCCGAGGGCGCTTATTAGTACCTATTTTTTTTTTTTATATTACATTATATCATGGTAGTTTTTTATTTGGGTTTCCTATGGAAACGCGCCGTCGCCGCCGCCTTTTCGTACAGCATCTCTATGTGTGTGTGTGTGTGTGGACTTTGTGTGCAAATGAATGCGCAGGCTCTCGTTACGCCGCCAGAACTTTATATCCTCCTCCGAGCGGTAATGGCGGCGCCAATGAGAAATTAGAGGAGGAAGTACCCCCGCTCGAATACAGCCGTTGTCCTTTTTGTGTATCTTCCTGTTAAATGTAAGCGCTTTTATTTTCTGCCAATTCCAATAGAAAGTCCACAACAAAACAAAATGTTCACAAACCGCGCGACCGTTGCGGCTTCTAAGCACACGGGGTCACAACGGTGGCGTCCGCTTTTTTTCGGTATAATAATAATTATACTATTATCCAGCCTATACGATGTGTTATTATTTTATACACACATAATATAATTGTATATAGACTTTTTTACCTAGTCGGTATAACAAAATACCGACTCTGTATAATTACTATAGTCGTACAAGGGGTCGGCCGTCGCCGCCGCTGGTAATTATCCTCTAATTTGTCCCTGGTGGGCGGCGATTTGGCGCCAATAATTAACCCCTAAGAACAACCCAAGTCGCCACCGCCGCCGCCGTCGTCGTTTGTGTCTATCTCGACGGTACCGGCCCAAAATCTACCAAAGACAAATACCCTACTCTTGTAATAATAATAAAACGTCGGAAACGTCGACCTGGATGAGAAAAGTGTAGACGAGGAGGTCCTTCTTAAAGGAAATCGACCGTTTCCTGTGTCGCTTCCTCTGTGCCACATTCACCTTGCTTTTATTTCATGCAATGTTTTTCTTTTTTATAATTATCGACAATAATTGTGTGTACACGAATATAATATATTATTAAATTAAACGGGTTTTCAAAATAAATAAATGACGTCGCGTGTGCGCTCTTAGAAGTTCGGTTTAATATGCTAATATACGCTTTTTTGCCAAACACAAAAGAGCATTGTTTTTAATTTCTGTTTAATTCGAATTCGCGAACCGAATGAATAATACATTTTTTTTTACGACGGCAGACCAGTTACCGTCGGTTAACCGACACAAGCCGGGTATTTAATGTAACAAAAAACAAAAAAATGGCCAGTGATTTTATTTAGCTGAGATATAAAAAAAAACCGATATTCGGAAGGGCTTGATTAGCTGTTGTTGTTTTTGCCGGCGAACAATGGAAGCGTTAGTGTCACATACCACAACAACAGCTGTACATCACCTTTTTCTTCATACGAACAGTCCAATGTATAATATATATTATACACACAGAACGGACAGACTATAACGCGAATTAAGACGGACACTTATCTGTTTTTTATATATATGTATATATATATATCGTCGCAGGAATTATTGTATATAATATTACGGAGAGATTTAAAAGAACGGAATAATAATAATAATGGATAATACAATATAATATAAGAGAAGAAGTATAAAGAAATAGTAATGAAGTACCCGTTTTGTTGTTGGCTACCGGTTTTCGTTGCAGACGTGTGGTGCGAAACGTTCAACGTTGTACCGTCGGAGGGGGTGGAGGGGCGTGGTCGCTATTGTAAACTTTGAACGTATTAAAAAAAAAAGAAGTATTACGCTTTTTTTACGCGAAACAATATAATTGATTTCTTAATTTGATGTTTGTGTGTGTATTTTTTTTAACAGTCCATTTTAGATTGTTTTTTTTTACTCGTCGCTTATCGGTTTGTTTGATTTTTTCTTTACAGATTGTGGTGTACGCGGGGTATGTCAAGGCAGTGGTGCGAATACATTGGTGATGATTGATAACCAGAAATGCCGTCACCGATACCAATACAATCGTCGTCGCCAACAGGAGGAGGAGGTCTAGTGGACTGTCCCGCCGGATGGACATCGGCGGACGCCACACAGGAGACCAGTACGATAGTACCGAATAGCAGCAGCAGCAGCAGCAGCAGCAGTACCGCGGCAACCACCGCCGGCGCAGCAATCGTCGGTATTACCAACATGAGTCCGGAAGAAGAGCAATCGGGATCGCCGGTGACCGGCGTGATCGCCGGCCGCGACGAAGAGGAACGCCGTTTGACGTCACCGCCGTCGGGTAGCAAGTTCGACTCGGTGGCCGGCAAACCGGACCTGACCGAGTCGGAGTCGTGGGCCAACAGCAGTGACGTGGAGAAGTTTGACGGCAAGATCGTGTACAACCCGGACGGTTCGGCGTACATCATCGAGGACAACAGCGAGCTGAGCGAGGAGGACGGCGTAGACCTACCGTCGCAACTGTTGGGAACCGGCAGTATCGTGGACGGCCGCGGCGTCAACCTGTCGCAGGCCGAGGTGTTCCCGCAGATCGCCAATGCGTTCTACGTGTCCAGGGCCAACTACGGCGACCTGTACGAACAGCAGACGAACGCGCCGGCCGCCGCGGCCCTCAACAGGGTGTTCCAAGACAAGAAAATAGTTCCTGACGTGCCGGTCATGCACAGCTACAGGGTGTACACGGTCCGAGACAAGACGGGCAACGGGGCGGCCGACAGGGTGCCGCAGCAGTCCAACGACTGTTCCACCGTGCCGGTCAAGCCGATACTCATGTGTTTCATATGCAAACTGTCGTTCGGTTACGCCAAGTCATTCGTGGCGCACGCCACCGGTGAACACGGCGTAACGCTGCAAGAAGACGAGTACAACATACTCGGTCACAAGAACGCGTCGGCTATCATACAGTGCGTCGGCAAGGAAAAAGAGCCGCTCGTCTCTTTCCTGGAACCGCTCGCCCCCTCGTCAAACAAAGCTCACGCGCGGGCCACGTCCCCGTCGAGTGCTCACAAAGTTCCTAATGCGTTTATTAACGACGGTAATCGTTCCTCCGACGGTGGCGAGCACAAGAGCAGCTGCCCGGAAAGCCTGGTGGTGCACAGGCGCAACGTCACTCCGCCCACCTCATCTCCAAGCATCAACACAGTTCCTGAGACGTCCGTCTCCCTACCTCAATCCGGTAGTCCTAGAAGTAATGTTAACTCGTTTAGTATAAGTAATAAAAACAATAACTGTAGTAGTAGTAGTAAAGCCACCGGCCGGTCGTCGTCCGTGTACGACTGCATCATGGACTTGACCAGGAAGAGTCCCATTTCCGCGTTGGCCGTGTCGTCCGGCACATCGGCCCGGAGCAACAGCGCGTCGCCCGGCGCCAGCCCGTCTCCCGGCACCACGCTCAGCCCACAACTCATATCCGGCGCACCGCTGTCGTATCCGCAGCCACCGCCCAACTTTATGACTGGCACCACGATCGGCGTGTGCCCGGACCACATGAACGGCAGGCCCAGCGGCGTAGACTGCGCCCGGTGCGAGCTCATACTTAGTTCCTCGAGACTGGGCGGCGTGGGCGGCTCTTTGGTCGGCATGCATTCGCGCAACTCGTGTAAAACACTCAAGTGCCCCAAGTGCAATTGGCATTACAAATATCAGGAGACGCTGGAAATACACATGAAAGAAAAACACCCCGAATCCGAAACGTCGTGCGTTTACTGTATCGCCGGTCAGCCGCACCCGCGGTTAGCCCGGGGCGAGACATACACCTGCGGGTACAAGCCGTACCGATGCGAAGTGTGCAATTACTCGACCACGACCAAAGGAAACCTGAGTATACACATGCAATCCGACAAGCATTTGAACAACATGCAAGAACTACAGAACGGCGGAGTGGCCGGTGGTGCCAGCGAAATGCAAAGGCACCAGGCGTCGTCGCCGTCGCAACATCCGTCGAAACAAACGTCGGCCATGAGTCCCGGCTCGACCAGCGGCCAACACCCGGCCATGAGCAGTCCGATGATTAGTCAAAAACCAAAACCCACGTTCAGGTGCGAGGTGTGCAACTACGAGACGAACGTGGCCCGCAACCTCCGCATTCATATGACCAGCGAAAAGCACACGCACAACATAATGGTGTTACAGCAGAGCGTCAAGCACATGCAGACGCTCAACGCCCTACAGACTCATCACCAACAGCAGATGAATTTCGAGTCCCTTATGCACTTCCATCCGGGTCTGACGTTGCCCGGCGACAAGCCGCCGCCACATACCGAAGCCGCGCTGGCCGACATGGCCTACAACCAGGCACTTTTGATACAAATGATGACGGGCGGACAGATGCCGCCGCACTTTGCCGGCGACGTGTCGCCGCACGTGGATACCGACATCGGGCTCAACCCGGAAACGATGGAACCGCCGCCGGAACCGGTGGACAAAAATCCCAACCACATGTTCCAGTGTAGCACGTGCAGCACTTTCGTGACGGACTCCCTGGAAACGCTGTCGCACCACTTGTCCGCCGACCGGACCAAGGTGCGCGAACAGGAGATACTCACCGTGGTGGCCGGCAATTATATATGCAACCTTTGCACGTACAAAACCAACCTGAAAGCCAATTTCCAACTGCATTGCAAGACCGACAAACACTTGCAGCGGCTGCAGCACGTCAACCACGTCAAAGAGGGCGGACCGCAAAACGAATGGAAACTCAAGTACATGTCGTCGCCCGGCGGCGTGCAAGTGCGGTGCAACGCCTGCGACTACTACACCAACAGTACGCACAAACTGCAGCTCCACTGTTCCGGACAGCGGCACGAGGCCGCTTCTCTGCTCTTCAGATACCTGAGAGATAACGACGCAGCCGCCGGGGAGGCGTCCGTTTACCACTGTCTGCTATGCGAGTTCTCCAGCCGAGATAAATTGCCGTTGCTCCAACACGTCCGATCAGTCAAACACATGCAGATGGAACAGCTACACCAGCTGCAAAGGCGTTCGGACGGCAAAGACATTCAGACCGACATCAACATGGTGTTCCAAGTGACCGCCGCTCCACAACAATCTATCGATAGCGACCAAGAACAAGGTACGTTCATAAACATTTATTTTTAAGTATATACATTTTTTTTATTATTACTATTCGCCATATTAAAAAAAAAAACCAAAACAGTGTCCTCTTCGATAGTAAAACATTACATTTTTTTCCTACTATTTATTATTTTTTGGTGTAAATCATGCAATTTCGGTCGTTTCTCGAAGGTGTTATAATTACATTTCAATAACACTCCGTTCTAAATGTTATTGTAATACTTGAATGTTTAACAACGGTACAGCCACAGGTGTAATATCGAGAAGTTAATTATTATATACACATTAAGTAATATCTAATTATACGTTACGCTTCGGAAACTGATAAAAAATATTGTAATAGACATGTACGTTGATCATTATTAAAAAAAAAAGATATAATGAATTATCGCATAATTAGTCGATAAAAAATAATTATTATTTATAACGGTTGCGTAGATCTTTCGAATTCCAAATTAAATCATTGTATAAACATTATAACAACGTAAAATAATTTATATCGACGAATTTTTTTTTTAATTATGAAATAATAATAATATATTACATTTTAATTAATAAAACATCTTCTCGATTTTGTGTTATTACGCACCCAAATGCGAATTCGGTGTAAATTTTCGATAACATTTTCGATTACAATAGTCAATAATTAGATGTTATACTTAAATATTATTCGATGACGAAACTTTGTACTTTACTTTATATACATAATGATTCATTGTTCATTGGAAATAATGTACACAAAAATGTATTTTATATGATAGCCAAGAGTAGGCAAAACAATAGCGTTGAATGAATACGGTAATTATACAAAAAAAAAAAAAATAATAACAAAAACGGGACCGGCAATCATTATTATATTTTTTTAAATGTATTCCGTGCGTTCTGTCTGAAAAAAAAATTGTAATTAAAGTCCGTTTGAAGTAAAGTAAACAATCGCCGGTCCTACATCGAAACAATAATATCGCCTATTTATTTTCCATTGCTTGCTCTTTTTTTTCCAATTGAGTCGTGCTCTCCGGTCGGTTTCGAACGCGACGCTCTAGATGCATTATACGGTATCTGTTATTAAAATCTCCATTGACACAAGTCGACTTTAAGTGAATGTAAATCGTTATTACTGCTTATTGTGCGTTTAATTATCGGACAGCACAAAGCCCAGGCGGCGGCGGCGGCCACAGGAAGACGGGTATCATTGTTTGCCGTTTACGGTAGTACACACTCACACACATGTACATAGGAGAATCGATCTACTGCTCATTGGGGGGGAGTGGTAGACGGGGGACATTACGAAGAGACGATTAGAAAACGTCTTCTTTTGTGGGTTAATTTCCGTCAAAGGAATAACCATAATAATAATAAAATAAATAAAAAAAAAAAAAAAACACCAAACGCAGTTTTGATAATAATAATTGCGTTAATTAGTCAACATTAAAGTTCCACCTCACAATGACACGACACAAACCGTTGTGCCTTTTTTTTTTTTTGTATTCTTTAATGTTGGTTTTTTTTTTCTCGAACACTTGATTACATTTTAAATTATCTTTAATTGTATTAAAAGTGACGGGTTCGGACGGTAACAAAAATCTCATTCTTGTTGCTCACTCATTCAACAACGGTGCGCACACCCATTGTTGCTTTCATACTCGGCTGAGTCCGGTTCCCACAAACCGGGCCCGCTTTAATACGGTTTTTCGTTTCGGGATAATGATAAAATATACACGTTTAATATACTGATTTAACACAATATATTTTTATAATTTTTTTTTTTTTTTAATTTTGTTTTTTAGAACGCGAAACCAAAGGAGACAACGACGGCCAGAACGCGATGATGTCCGTCGACGAGACCAGAGCCGAAAGTTCGGACGGTCCGATGGACCAGTCGGACTTGGCACGCGAATCGCCGCCCAGCAGAATTGGCGAACACCAAGAACAGCAGACGTCGCCGGACCAAAAGAAGAGCGAACTGTACTGCCCGTTGTGCCAGGACGTGTTCGAGGACATAATCAATTTCGAAAAGCACCTGATGAAGATCCACAGCGTCAACTCGGAAGGGCTGCAGCGGCTGTTGAGTCTGGTCAACCAGTCGCATTGGCTCAACTCGTCCAAGTCGTCGCAACAGAGCCCGCCGCGCGCCTCGGTCAGTCCCACTTCGCCCGACATGGACAAGTCGGCCGACAAGTCCGACGACGCGCAAGAACAGGACGGCGACGAATACAAGTGCCCGACGTGCCAGAAACTGTACAAGAACATCGACGACCTGTGCCAGCACCAGAACGACACCGGTCACGTGGAAATCAAACAGACGCCCAACGGGCCCGGATACCTGTGCTGGAAGAAAGGCTGTAACATGTACTTCACCACGGTGCAAAACCTGCACATTCACTTCCGCGAAATGCACGCCGGACAGCAGAACATCCTCGTGTCCGAGAAGCACGTGTACAAGTACAGGTGCAACCAGTGCAGTCTGGCGTTCAAGACCCTGGACAAACTACAAGCCCATTCCCAGTACCACGCCATTCGGGACCTGACCAAGTGCATCCTCTGCCGGCGCAGTTTCCGGACGGTGGCCACTTTCCAAAAACATTTGCAGACCGCCCATCCGGATTTGGCGCAGGCCGATCTGGAAGCGTTGAAACAAAATTCAATGTTGCAGTTCGACCAGTCCATGGACGACAAAATGGAAATAGACGAATCGGTCGACGACGAGGAGGAGAAGGAAGAGGAGCCCGAGTGCGACAACAGCGACGATTCGATTGCGTTCAAACAACAGCAGCTTATCGAAGACTACATGAACGGACAGACGCTCGCCGAGGACGGCTACAACGACTCGGAGAGAAAGTACAAATGTCACCGTTGCAAAGTGGCGTTCACAAACCAAAAATACCTGACCCACCACAACAAGACGCTTTTGCACCGCAAAGGCGAGAAACAAACGTACCCGATGGAGAAATACCTGGACCCAAACCGTCCGTTTAAGTGCGAAGTGTGCAAGGAGTCGTTCACGCAAAAGAACATCCTTTTGGTGCATTACAATTCGGTGCTGCACCTGCACAAACTGAAACGTTCCATGCAAGAGCAACAACAGCAGCTCAACAACAACAACACACCGATCATGTCAAACAATTCGTCGTTCCCCGTCAACTTGGCGTCAAAAAACGCCGCAGTGGCCGGGGGAGGCGGTTCCACGTCCGAGGACGACGACAAAAAACCGTACAAGTGCAACATATGCAAAGTGGCGTACACCCAAGGGTCCACGCTGGACATCCACATGCGGTCCGTGCTGCATCAGACGAGAGCGTCGAAATTGCACGATCTCGCGTTGGCCGGCCAAGTGGACTTGACAAAACCGATAATCGAACAGCCCGAACAGAGCAGCAGACCGCCTTCGCAAAACAAGCAGGACGCCGAGAGTCAGGCGTCCGGCGGTAAAGACGAACAGCTACTGCCGCAACAACACCAACAACCGCAACCGCACCATACCAAGAGCAACCAGCTGAGCTGTCAACGCTGTAACGCGCTCTTTTCCAACCAAGAACAGTTGGCCACTCACCAACAGCTGTACTGTATGTTCGGTACGCCCATGAACATGTTGCCGATCAACCCGGCCTTGGCCTTCGCCAATAACCTGGCCAGTGGTGCGCAAGGACCTAAATCGCCGTCACAGTTGACGCTGACCGAAGAACAATTGTTGAAAGTGCCGTTGGCGTTGCAAGGCAAAAAACATTCGCACATGTACAAACTTTTGGAGAGCTATGGTTTCGACCTGGTGATGCAGTTCAACGAGAACCATCAGAAGCGCAAGGAGAACGAAAAACTTTTGCAAGAACTCACTGCCCAAATGGAAATTGAACAGGCCAACGCGGTCAAAGAGGAGATGAACGAGGTGAACGAAGAGGAAACTGGCGATTTACCGGAAGTAGCCAAATCGACGTGCGTGCACTGCAATAAGGAGTTCTCCAGTGTTTGGGTGTTGAAAGCTCACTGCGAAGAAGTGCACAAAGACTTGGTGCCGTTCGATTTCTTAGAGAAATACGCCAAGCAAATCAAGTGCGAGATCGAGAAGAAAGGTAACGAGCCCAACACGGTTGCGCCGACGACCACATCGGTATCCACGACGACCACTCCGGTGGCCAGAATCAGTTCACCGTCGGACGACGTATCCGTCAAAACCGAATTAGACCAAGACTCCGAACAACAGACTGACGGTTCGGAGTTCAACGCGGCCTCTTCGTCCGCCGCTGGCGACTCGAACGTGAACATTGCCGGTGTGCCGCCCAACATACCGCTGTCGGTAGCTCAACATCTCAACGAAATGCAAGCCGCGTTCAACGCCATGGCCGCGTCCCAGATGTCTCAACAATTGCAACAGTTCAACCCGATGATGTTGGCCAGCATGGCCGGTCTGGGTATGGGACTGCCGCTCGGCCTCAACATGCAAGCGTTGGCCGCCATGAACTTACAACCACCTTTAGTGCCCATGATGATGCCGCCTCCTAATTTCGAGTCCATGATGGGTCAGCAACAAAACCAGCTATTCCAACAACAACCGGCTTCTATGGATCCTACTGGAATACTAGCTAAACAACAGCAACTATTGCAACAGCAACAACAACAAGTGGTGAGTACTGTTTAGACTCAGTATTAATTTTATTTTTTTTTTTTAATTATTATTATCTTAGTAAGACACACATGGTGATATTTCGAAATATTTAAAAAGTTAAAAAATCTTTTAATCGTATATTATGAAATATGAATACAAAAAACATTTTATTTTATGAAAGTAAAATGCGACTGGAAATATTATGCCATACAAAATATGAATATAATGATAGTTGTTAGATCCTTATATATCCATATAGGTAATTAATAATTAAAATAAATCTATATAAATATTTAATAAAAAAAATAAAAACAGTATTATTTATTTTTACCGAAGTGATTTGAATATTTTTTAATTTATAAATATGTTGTCTATTTAAATTATTTAAATATTTAAACATAATAGTATAGATACCAATAATTTTAATAAAATCTATTATTATTTTGTGTCATTTATAATGACAATAAAAAATAAAATGTAATAAATAGTATTTCGTTTAAAAATTAAAATTTGTATGGAAATTTTAACATGTGGTTATAGTACTTATGTATTTCAATTAGTATTAGCAATGCAAACACCAAAGAATGACATGGCCTTAATAGTTAGAGACGTTAACGGTTTTAAATATTTCAACTGTATAGGCTCGCCTATAGTGCAATATGTTATGTCACATGTATGCGTGTGTGTATATTATATAAACCCATCAGTGTTTTTAATAATAATAACGTCATGTATTATAATTGTTTTATTCTAAGTTGCGTTTTATTGTTAATCATTGTTTATTGTTTTAATTGTGTTCAGTATTTTATTGTCATGTTTAATATTTTTTCCAGCAGCAGAATTCACAACAAAAGAGAGCAAGGACACGCATCACCGATGATCAATTGAAAATTTTACGTGCCCACTTTGACATAAACAATTCACCGTCCGAAGATCAGATACAAGAAATGGCCGGCCAAAGCGGTCTTCCTCCTAAAGTTATTAAACATTGGTTCAGAAATACGCTATTCAAGGAGAGACAAAGAAACAAAGATTCGCCATACAATTTCAATAACCCGCCTTCGACCACATTAAACCTAGAAGAATACGAAAAAACCGGCGAAGCCAAAGTAATGCCTCTCGCTCTACCGGTCGTCGAAATGGACGTCAAAGAACCGCCTAAAACACCAACATTCGCCAAAAAGAAACCCATGCAGACAAGCACTCCAAACAATAACGCCGTCCGGGCTCAAAGCCAAACGCCCACTTTCCCGCAGACACAGTCTTTTACTCAAAACTTTTCTAGACCGTTCTCGTCGCAGCCTATGGAGTCGCCAGTCAAAGTAGAACCACTGGTGAAGATTGAGATGAAGGACGTCGAAACCAGTCTACACGAATCCAAATTCCCGTGGGGCAATCCGGAATCTCCGTCCAAACGTCGCGACTCGATGGAAGAAAAACAAAATTTGTTTTTACACCACGACAGAGCGTCCCAGTTGGACATGAACGCCGTCGAGAACCTTACTTTGTCGTCGATACTCACGTCACAACATCAGGACATCAATAACATGGGCAATTCTATTTCGACCAGCAACATGTTGCCGCCAAAATTGGCCTCGTCCAGTTTCACTTCACCGCCACAGATGACTTCCACCACTCAGTCGGGTCCCAGAAGCGTTAGTCCGGGTCGGTCGCCGAATTCGTCCGACGGGTTTCCGCATTCGATCATGATGAACCAAAGCAGCAGCGGATCCACCGGATCGGCTTCCGGCAAACGTGCGAACCGCACTCGCTTCACAGATTGTCAGATCAAAGTGCTACAGGAGTTTTTCGAAAACAACGCATACCCAAAAGACGACGACCTGGAATACCTGTCCAAGTTGTTGAATCTCAGTCCCCGAGTGATCGTCGTATGGTTCCAAAACGCGCGTCAAAAGGCTAGGAAAGTGTACGAAAATCAACCGGCCGTCGAACCGGCTCCCGGTATCGTCGAGGAAGGGTCAAACCGATTTCAGAGAACGCCCGGCTTGAACTACCAGTGCAACAAGTGTCTGCTGGTGTTCCAGAGATACTACGAGTTGATTAGACACCAGAAGACACACTGTTTCAAAGAAGAAGACGCTAAAAGATCCGCTCAGGCCCAGGCGGCGGCCGCTCACATCGCGGCGGCGCTCAGCTCCGAGGACTCTAACTCGAGCACCGTGGAAAATCACCAAGGCCAATGCGCAAACTCCAACCCGATGACTCCGACCCCGACGCCTTTGTCGTCCACGCCGACATCGACTTATCCGACTTCACCGATGCAAACGTCCACGTCACACGATAAAGAAAACGCGTACAGCTGCGACCACTGCAATTCGGTGTTCAGCAAACTGGACCAATGGAAAGAACACCAACAGGTACATTTGATGAACCCAAACTTGTTCCCGACTTATCATCCCGAAAGCGCTTTCGGAATTTTACAACAACAAGCGCAACTCCATCAACAGCAGCAACAACAACAACAGTTACAACAGCAACAACAACAACAACAGCAGCAGCAATCGCAACAGATGAGCGGTTCATCGGAAATCAACGCCAATCCCACATCGTTGATATTGTCCATGATGCAACAAAATAACAAAAGGTCGTTTGACGAATTCGACGACCAGAGTGACAAAGAGACCGAATTCACTAAGGATAAGCGTTTGAGGACGACTATTTTACCGGAGCAGTTGGACTACTTGTACCAAAAATATCAGGTAGAAAGCAATCCTTCGAGAAAAATGTTGGAGAGCATTGCCCAGGAAGTCGGTCTAAAAAAGCGAGTGGTCCAAGTTTGGTTCCAAAACACCAGGGCCAGGGAGAGAAAGGGCCAGTTCAGAGCGCATTCGCAAGCTATCAACAAGAGGTGTCCGTTCTGTTCGGCCATTTTCAAAATTAAATCCGCGCTCGAGTCGCACTTGCAAACTAAACATCCAGAACAGTGTTCACGCGGCTACATAAACGTCGACAACATTCCCGACGAAGACGTCAGCATGGATTCGTTCGCGTCGTCCCAGATGAGCGAAATCGGCCAAAAGAGCCAGACGTACGCGCCGAATCCATACTACCAGAATGCGGAGGACGTGGAGAGCCTGGGAAAAATGTACCAGGAGTCGTTGAAGAGATACATGGAGGAAATGCAACAATCGAGCATGCAGAACGGCATGGCGTCCGAGGGCGAGAAGACCAAGCCCGAAGGGGAAATCCCTTTGGACTTGAGCAAACCGGTTGACCTAAGAATGGATCAGGACCAGGACGACGATGAAGACAGCATGTCGGAATGTACGGACATCATGGATGACGAGAGTCCGGCGTCGCCGGCGTCCAGCACCCAAAGCGGTCAGCAGAGGGCCAACGCTCCAGGCGGGAGCCACCAGAGTAAACGTTACAGGACCCAGATGAGCAACGTGCAAGTGAAAGTCATGAAAGCGTTGTTCGAGGACTACAAAACGCCAACGATGGGCGAATGCGAGATGTTGGGCCGAGAAATCGGTCTAGCGAAGCGCGTTGTACAAGTTTGGTTCCAAAACGCCAGGGCCAAGGAAAAGAAATACAAACTGCAGACCAAACAGGACGCCGCCTCCGGTCCGCCCGAGGAGTGCAAATACTGTCGGTTCAAGTACTCGCATAAGTATAGCGTGCAAGACCACATATTCACTAGCCGACACATCGCACTGGTCAAACAACACGTGGAGAGCCGTATGTCGGTGGCCGATTTGTCGGGAAACTGTAGTGACAGCGACTTCCAAGTACCGTCCACTCCGGGCGACCCGCACAACAACAATTTACCCAACCAACAAGTCAACCAACTGCAGATGTTGCAGTTGGCCGGACTCATCGGACAATCACCCGTGGCCCAAGCCGTGGCCATGGCCACCATCGCAAAACTGGACGGCAAAGACCAATCGCAGATGACGGCCGAGGAGCTGGCGCTGTTACCTCACTTGTACAATTTGGGTGTCAGCTTCCAACAGGGATTCATGCACCCGGGCACTGCTATGATGACGTCGCCAGGTCAGTAGTCAAAAATCAGTGTATTTATTAGTTCAGTTAAGGCTAGAATTTTAAGACGATTAAGTTAAGTTAGACCTCAAGAGTTTGCAAAAGGTATAGAAAATATACAACGTATTGCTATCGCCGTTCCTCGCGTTGACTTCACCGTATGAGAAAAAACATAGGTTTAACTCCCGAGTCCTATGACGTCGGGTAGTGACGGACAGTTCTTGTTTAGGGGCGTGAGAACAACAACACAAATTAATTTTTATTCGGCGTGCAAAACGCTCGGCACCGAGAGTCACATAGGTAATAATAATATAGGCGAATAGCACAGAGTGAGCTAACGAGGCAGTGTACATTATTATATTTTATATAATATATGAATAGGCATGTGGAATTTCTTTCTTTCCGATTGATATATTTTTTAATGAAAAGGGTTCGGTGGGTATCAAACGCACCCATCTCTTTTATATATATATATATACAATACTTAGTGTACATATAAAGCCCGGTAGAATCGTTGGGGGTACGTTAATTCTGGAAACAATATCGCGCCGTCTAACCGGCGGCGGTAGTGGTGGTGGTGGTATAGATTATTACAGAAATTCGTTACGTGTGTCCTATAGTGAAACCGGAGAAAGGAGGAACGTCTCCCCAAACAAAAAAAAAATAAAATAAAATAATAGAACGTTTCAATGTATCCTATATAGGTGCGTGTATTTTTAAAGGTTTCCCCGGCGTAGTATAATGTTATGTCCCGGCCACCGTTCGTTTTTCTTCTATTGTGTTCCCAAATGATTCTCTCACCGACCCCCGAAAAATATCTCTAAAATTCGAGAGCTGATTAACGGGTGGCGTTGGTACCCTCATCGGCGGGTACGTTTTTAGTGCTGATGGAGAATATAATATCATACACTATCCGCTTTTTCGAGTGTCCAGATACCGCAGCCCCTCCCTTGTTCCGTGTACCCGTGTACTCGGCCGGGGTGTCACCGAAAGGAATAGGCGTGTGTGAGTGTGTGAAATCTGTTAGTGTATGTGTGTGCACTGCCACCTGCGAAAACTTTATGAGCTCGTTGAAAGTCGAAACTCTCTCTATATATGGAGTCTTTTGGAGACGGAAAAAATATTCGGGGTGTTTGATATTGGTTTTTGACTGTGCGTACACACTCACTCGGCTCGGGGTTTTTGTAGCGATGAGGGGTGTGAAATATTAATTCCACTTATGTGCCCCCGCCACATGTGCGGTTTCCCGTATCCGCCGCCGCCGTTATATTATTACGTTATACTATGTATAGACCGTTCTGTTTCTCTTTATATATTGTCTACAAATGAGAAATTGGCGTAATAACTATATACTGTACTGCGGCCCAAAGTCCCAAATGAACGTATCTCTCTCTCTCTCTCTCACTCCCGCAACAGTCACAAGCCACCGCTGTGTGTTTATATATATATATTATATATAAATACACGTCTGTCTGTGTGTGTGTGTGTGTGTGTGCTTAGCAGCAGTAAAGACCTCTTGTCGTGTGTGTGTGTGTGCACTGTATATAATATTATAAATGAATGGGCCGATGAAAAGAATTGAAAAATATTTATAACGAGCAGCGGCACAAAGCACCGTCGAATCGATGAGTAAACACAATGCCGCCGCTGCTCCTGTTGAGCTCTCGACACCTTTTTATTTTTTTTTGGTTCACAACGCGGTAGAGATATAGGAGGTAATAATGGTCTTTGGCAAAGAGACTTGAAAGAAACGACTCATTAGCGAGTGGCATATAATATTTATACACGAACACATGCGCAGGCTTTATGAACGATACACATACATAGGCACACCGCGGCCGATTAGATATTTTATTTTAAGTAATATTATTATTATTATTTTGCATGCATTATTATTATTTGTTGTATTATTTTATGATTTATATTTATTTATTTTTTTGTTTTGTTTTGCGCTTTTTTTGTAGGATAGAAATGAGTGATAAATGAGCTATAAAAACGTAAAAAAAACTATTTTGTACAACAATCGTTGTAACGAGACAACGGACCACACAAAAATGGACATTTTCCAATGGGCGATCGACAATTTTTACTAAATTATTATGAAAATACATGTTTTTAAAAAAAAAAGTTTGTTGTCAAAAATTGTTACAAACCGTATACGCTTAGTTTCATAAGTCCTACTAACCGTATTGTTCGAGGTTAGTTGTATAAGTATAATAATATAATATTTATTAAAAAAAAAAAAACATTTTTTGTTTGTTTTATATTAATACAGAACAGTTCTGAGCTATTGTCTATTTTAATTTATTTTTTAATTTAATGTGAATGCGAACGCCGCTGTTTAATTTATTATTAATATTATTATTATTATTATTATCATAAGAAACTTGATAACCATTCAAATCGACATATTTTGATTGACGATTTCGGCTGTCGCTGAGCCAAGTGCAGTCCGTTTTTATTTTAGTTATTATTTATTACCTAGACAATTGTGATATTTTAGGTTATTTATAATTATTAGCATTTTGACTACGCTTGTTATTTATTATAATTTTTTTTTCCTTTTATTCTTGTATTAAAGTAATTTAAAAGGCTTCGCCTGCATTTGCAATAAAAAAAATGACTTGCATAGGCCATTACGCCACCCTCGGGTTTCCAAAGGCGACGCGGAGGGGCCACTAAGCCGCGAGTAATACAAAAAAAAAAAGATGGAAGCTAAAAAAGTAATTTTCTCTTGTTAGTCATACCGCTTTTGCTAGGTTATATTTTCTCTATTATTTTTTCTCATTAAATTTAAATTTTTTAATCGAATCTCCCCTAAAAAAAAAGAAAAATGGCGAAGCCCTAAATAATAAGACTGTTTATAGTGGATAACAAAAAGACATTTTTCCCCTCTCGACATTTTCTCTCTTATCAGGTTAGTTTCCATGACACTTATTGTTTTTTTATCCGAATAGTAGGTGTTTTTTTATATTTAAAAAAAATATATAAATGTGCCTTTTTCTAAAGAAAAAAAAATTAATAATACGATTATTGTATAAGAAAAATATTGTTTTTCTTGTTGGTGTATATAAACATGTTAATTATTAATATTTAAAATATATAAATAAATATATATATATTTATAAATAGATAGATAGATAGATTGATAATATTTAGGTATTATATTATTAGTAACTATGTATTCTTAAGTGTATTTTTTGGACTGTTAATATTAAAGTAAATAAAAAGAAAATTATATCCGTTATATTATTATTATTATTATTTGCGGTAATTTTTCACCGTTGAGCATTCTACTTGTACTATATCTATATAAGAAATGTAAATAAATAACTGAGTAATTATATTATGCGAGTATACTATATATTTTTTTATGACATACCTTTACATCTCAAAAAAAAAAGTTTCATGTCTAAAACTATTTTTAATCGAAAAAATAATAATTGTAGGTAATAGAAAAAGTTATAGTACAATATTGTACGCTAGGTAACGTTTTCAACTGGTGTTGACAAACTAACAAATCAACAATGTTCACATAACATAATGTTAGGATAGGCTGTGTGAATATCGAGTGTTTTTGTTATTCACTAGGCAACAAACGTGTAGGCATGATAAACATTAACTTTAACCATTTGAATCTAAGTGCATATTCATACATATTCACATTCATACGATAAAATATGTGTACTTAGTAGTTTTGTATTTTCGAGAAAAAAAATGAATAGTGACAAAAATGTTTTCAGTAGCTGTTTAATGCGTTTTATTATTTTTGCGATTTTTATTACTTTTTGCTGCTTTCGTCATTTTTGTGTAACTACTTACATTTTTTTTTTTTATCAAGACGAGATGATGAAATAAAAGAAACGAAATAATTACATACATTACACACGTGTTGTCGATTTATTTAATTTTGCATGCAACCGCTTGTTATTATTATTATATTTTATTATTTATTCACCCCCAATGACTGTGGTCGGCCCAACCGGCATACAAATAAATGGCTCGCGCTGCAACTGAGGGGTCGTACCGGATTGGCTCGTGCTTGGCCATATTTGCATGCCAAAAGTCCGGCACGGGTTAAATAAAAAACATAAAAAAATTGTCGCCTAATGTATGCACTACACATTACACCCAACGTGTGTGTGCTCTATATGAATGTTTGTTACTGTTGTAGGGTGGCAACCACCGTGTCGACGTTATTGTAATGGTGATGGTGATGATGATGATGATGAAAAAAAAATTACTTATGTATATAATTTGCTATTAACACAACACGAGCTGCGATTTGCATAAGCACCCTCCAAACCTAGTCATATTTAAATATTATTTTCGTGCCGGTGCCGGTGAACATCATAACGGACAAATAGAGTGTAGTATACTATATTACATATTTTAAACAGGGGGGAGGGGGCAGCGCTAAAATCCCATTTTTGTTTTCTCTCCTAGGCGGCATGTGCGTATAAATACACTTTTATTATTTCATTATTATTCTAATTTCGCACGTACCCGTATTTTATACAGGAAATCCGCATGTATATTATGTTGTGTGCGGCCGTTGGTGTAATTGTACATGTATACACGCTTTACATAATATATCAATAGATACTACAAATACGTTCCGTCATTGCCGGTATAATTGTAATCCAGATTTAAGCGCGGCAAAAATAATATTAAAAAAAAAAATGGCAGCCAAAACCGATAAAGAGAAAACCGTGTGTGTGTGCAAGTAAGTCCTGCGACAGTATAGTCTTCGGTCGGTGCTACGATATTGTAACACCACTGCATTATGATGTATATATATATATATATAAATAATAAAAATAATAATGTTTCCGCCGCGCCTTGGACGATAATAATAATAATATAATAACTACTACCCGGGATAACTGGACCGTGATAGGATTTACACCGGGTATAAGATAGTTACCAGGTTTTAATATGCCGCATACGACTGGGGAACTAATCGTTTGTTACGGGCTACAATAACGTGCGGAGTTTGCGGCGGAAAATAAAAACGTACACGAAACACGCGTTCGGTTGTTATATTATAGTAAAAATTAACAAAAAAAAAAAAAAATAATACACCAGTGGTGGGTATTGGAAAAGCGTTTAAGCGTATGTATTATATAATAACGACGACGAGGGCTTGTGTATTGCCGCGGTGAAAGTCGTCGGCGACGATATATTATTATTATAATAGTATAACAACAATAATATAATTTTTATTTTTGGAAACAATGCCGGTACAACAACATCAATAATAATCGTTCAAGGATTAATATAAAAAATAAACATATCCATGTTAAAACGGTAGTCTAGAACGCGGGCGGCCAGTAAGGGGGAATAGTCCTTGGAAGTGGGACATCCTCCTGTTGACAGGTTGTATCTACTCTTGGACGTGCGTCTCCTGAGTGTTGGCCGCGGACGGTTGTAAATATCTCTTTACAATATCTTCTGCGTTATGTTTGTGCCTTCCGAGGTCGTCGGTCTAAGCAATCCGGCGATTAATTGGATTCAAATTACAATGCACAACGTCTGCGTTTGCTGCTGCTGTTGCGGTGACCGCAAAGCATTTCGGTCGTCGTTTGTTGCGGTCGAACGTTGCGCACAATCGAATACGTGAGAAATGTCTTTTGGAAATTTCCGAGGAAATGAAAATAAATAAAAAAATAACTCTTACACGTTCTGTGTGTGTGTGTGTGTGTGTGTGTAAACCATAATTATTATTACATTTTTCTATAACCTACCGTCTGGTCCGGTGGACGTAAAAGAGACAAAGATGAGAGAGAGACCATAATATTATCTGTTGTTACTTGCGCCTCATAGAAGCACCCGAGTAATGGACCGAAATTACACACGTACTTAATGTTTACGAAGTGATTAGAAAATCCACCGCGGCCGGCCAACATCGGATACATAGGTACGAGTAATAATAATAATGATAATAATAAGCGTATAGTGCGACGATCATAATATGTAATAATATTATAACGGCGCAGGCGGAAATTATAAAAGGGAGAGAATTTTTATAATTATTATTATTCCCTTATAGCTAGGCTACGGTTTCTTATGCTGCGACCGCCGTTGTGGTTGCAGCAGCATTTTCCTCTTGTATATGTACTTGCACGATTAATAATAATTATATTTCTCCTCTTCTTCTCCTCCTATGTAATGAGCGTCGTCGCCGCTGCCGACTAATCTCTCTGGAATCGCCTTATTAAAGGAAAAAAAAAATACCCACCGGTCGCCGTCAATTATAATTATTATCATCATCATTATTATTATTATTATTTCCTATATCTAATGTATCCGACCACTTTTTTGGAAAAAATAATAAAAGTTATTAGTGTAGAATCCGGTGTTTTTAAATATTGGTTGTGTGGCCGTCGCGCCACTTTTTTTTCATTGTATAACAACAAGTATAGACATACAAGATTTAGGCGCCAACATTCAAATTGCCTTAGACGCATCACACCGTGGTAACCAACCTCAGCTGCAGTCGTTGTTCACGTTTCCTTATGAACTACCATGCAAAATAGGTTTGCCAAAAATTACTGGCATGTATTTGTTTGAATCGTACTTCAATATGCTTGACCTATCCAAGATGCCCAACAGCCCTAGGGTGTGTCACGAGAAAAAAACAATATGAAAAATGTACAAAAAGAGACTGCATTTTGAATTCTAAAAATGTCTTATAAAATCATTAGGAATTGAACCGTAAACGCTATTCAAAAGCAATCGGGTCAATGTTTTTTGGAAAATATTTTTTTACGCGCACATACGCAGTTCAAGGTGATTTTTTCCCACTGTCTTTGGATTATAATATAATGTTTCGCTGTTAATAATTATCTCTATCTAAATACACTTTCTCGTTGTCGATGTAGGTTCATTGTGGCAAACATAATAATAATAATAATGTAAAAATCGTCCCAGCAAAACATATTGTTTAACCAATTGACAAAAAATAACCGAAACAGACCCATATTATAATATCGTACTTACCTACCCGGTCTTTTGTGTGCGTTCGTGAGCACACATAGACAAAAAAAAAAGAAAGAAAAAAGGTATCACTTGGATATCCGGTGCGGCTCGGCGACGGGTCTATTGAATTTCGATAATAAATCGAATCGCCCTCGAACCCTAGGCAGGACCGTCGGAGTAGGAATTTTTTTAAAAATATTAATATTAATAAAGCGTTTTTTCCTTAAAAAAAAAAATGCAAGACAACATTAACCGCCGTCTACGACGATTAATAACCCAATTTCCATACAACAGAGGAGAAAACGATATTTGAACGGGTCCCATCCCTCCAAACCCCAGTAGTTTTTTGTATTATTCGAGACTCTCATACATCATATACCTACATAAAACGTTAAAATAAATAATATATACATACATACATATATATACCTATATATTGTATTTCACAGCAGAAACAAACAATCTGTCGTTGGTGTGTAGGACACAAAATAATATACCTACAATGCTGTGATGGATATGATTTTCTCTCGTCTAGACAAGCGGTCGTCTGATCCCTAGGGTGTCCGCCACAATCTCCCAAATGATCTTCACCAGACGACTTTTAATATATTATTTACAAAACGCCTTTTAAATCCCAATATTCGTTTTTAAAATTCGAATTACAAGGTATTTAACCGTTAATTTTCAAATAAAAATTTTAGTCGAATCCATTGTGTATTATATTTTAATAAAACCAAATGAACTGCACACCAAATCGGTTCTTTGTACCGCCAATAACCGTATAATATTGTACACTTATTATGTACCGACCAATATAATATTGTACTTCTAGGAGGTCCTTGTGTACACAATACTTTGGTAAATTGGATTTCGATAATTTACGTTCGGTTCCCCACTTCCCTTGTATAGATCAGGCCCGCATACATGTTTAATAATTGTACACCAATAGATGTATTTTATTATACTATTACAATGTCGCATATGTTGTACTGTTTGAACATTGATTTTTTCAAGTAAGAGGAAAAATAGTAAATCACCAGTAAGTTTAAAAAAAAAAAAATACTTCAATATTTTTGTCCCTGGAAATCAAATATTAACAACACAAATGTTTCAACAATAATATCTTCTTACTGTTATTAATTCAATAATCATACATAA